TATTTTAGCTTATGCAGCCATGTAATTATCGTCTAAGTCTTGTATGTTTATCATTTGGCATTGAAATAATATTATTATGATTTAAACTATTTTTCAATATTCTCTTTCAACGGAAAAGAAAATTCATTGCTATATCAACAAATTGATAATATTAATAATAATTCAATGGACTGATTTATTGTCAATTTTTAATTCTTATTATTGATAATAATTTTGCTTTTTTAAACTTCATCTATGTGAGTGCAATTTCCTTCGCAATCATTTTATTGCAAACTATATTTGCTACAGTAGATGTTTATAAGCCAAATTAATTTTATTTCTAACGGTTCAAATGATGACGACATTGATAAATACAAATGTAATTAAGATCCGGGTTAATTTTTAATAAATAAGATGATTTAAGTTCAGAAAAGTGTAAGTGTCTATTTGTATGCGAATACAGATGCAGACTTTGTTAATCCTTTTCGACCGAGATTAAATATAAACGAAATTTGATAGAAGAAAAATTTTACGGTCGTCAGCTAGATTATCTGATAATATACAGTCGAATACCAAAGTTTTAATTTTTTTGCAGAAAAGTTGAATTATGACGAGCAAGGATATCGATCGATTGGGCTGTACAGCCAAACTCATTCTGATGTAAGAATGGAAATAGTCAGATTGCATGATTAGAAAGAGTTCAGTACCGCACTGAAGTTAAGCTTATTTTCTTTGCGAAGGAGTTCAAAAAATAACGGACAGGAAGATCGGTCAATAGAATTGCATAGTTGTTAAAATTCTGATGTGAAGATAGAGAATCGCAAGGCTGAGAGTTAACATAGAGCTAAACCCCGAAGTTATGATTATATTATACGGAGGAGTTCAATATAATAGCTAGGAGCATTCATCGATAGAGCTGCTTGCTAGATTTGATGTGAAGATAATAAATTCTCTTCAATCATTCGTTATAGAGCTACGATGCTGGACAGGAAGCTGCCGTTGTAATAGGTGGAATAAAGTTGATACTGTTCTGATGGCAACCAGACGATAGATAGAAACTAAATTGTAATTCAATGTCTGGACAATATTTGCAAATCTTGTTCAGTTTCGGTTTCTTTTGTTTATATAGTAGTTTATTCTTTTCTCCCTTGTTTACTTAATGGAATTCTAGAGGCATAAACGTTTTTTATAACGATTAAAGAATTCGTTCTGCAAAGATTGTCGCAATCATCGTTATCATTTTAGCTCTGGACTGAAATTACACGTCTATCAAGCTATATTATTGATGTAATAATATCGTTACTATGAAGTATACAATGATTGGAGTAGTAAACCACGATTGCTTTCATTACTCTATTTCAGAAACACTTTTAGCTATATGATGAAGCGTCATCTTTCTTTGATTTTGTATGTAATCAATTTTGGATACCGTAAAGAATCATTCTCTTTAGCAGATGATTAACATATGGGATGCAATTATTCTTAATTATGTCTACGGTATTAATAACATACAATTTTTTTATCCTTCTTTATTACTATATGACGATCTAAAATAATAATGATTGTACAGTGTATTTTCTTCTTAATATACTCAATAATATGGTAAGGGCAATATCTATAATATTTTGGCTTATTCAATATCGCTGGCTATGTTGAAGAATTCCCATAGGGGCGGTATGATATTGGATTTTCATTATATTGTATTTAAAAATGTAATTGTAAAGGCCTGCATGTTCGAATTATTTTCGTTGTATTGTGTATTTTGGATGAACAATAATAACAAGGACAACAATCTCATGATTGCTACAAGATTTTGATGCTTTTGACCATTTTAAAATAATGAGCAAATATAGATTGACCACCTAAATTAATAATAAAGCTGAAAGAACGATTTTGACATCTGCTTTAGAGCTTTTTTCTGTTGTTAGATGCCATTACAATAATGATTAGATTCAAAGATAATGCAATCAGAAAATTCTGGTTCAATATCAGCGGTATTGAATTTGGGAATCATTAGATATCGTGGGATCTTAGTATTATCCAGTACAATGCTTACTAATTCATTTGGTCAACAAAATTATTATTTCAAGTGGAATATCAAAATAAGAAACTTTAAAGTGTGTAATAATAATGAAATTAAAATTTTTGTATGAATTAAATATGAAATGAGGTCTCATGACTGTCGTCAACTTGCGCCAGAAGTAGATTTATCGAGTAATATTGACACGCCTACAGATAAACACTATTTCTAATCAAACTGCCCTCGCTCTACTTTTTTATGATAGCTGGAAGCGTTCTTTATGTTATTTCAACAACTGATACAGCTATAGCTGTCATAAAATAAGTACAGAGGTAAGTACATCTAAGTATTGTTATAAGTATTAAGCGTAAATAGAACGCATTTTGATGATATAACAAAATGGTAGTTTACTCCTTTCAAGCTTTCCTCGGACTTAGTTCAATACAATTTTTCAAATTCATTTAAATAACAATTAATATCTAAAAGCGCAGAGATGTATTGGACGATCTTTTTTTATCAATAACAATCAAATCAATGCTAGATTACTACAATTTCATATACAAATATACTTTAGGATTTTAATCGTTCTATGAAATGTGCGCCATTACAGTACACAGTATAGATTGGTATTAAGGACTACTAATTATCGTGTAACAGAATAAAGAGTAATTTATTAGTGTTCTTTAACATAACCTTCGCCGTGTAATATTTTAATAAATGTTATGCACTGGATAATAATCAATAAATAGCTGCTATTTTGTAAAATATTGCTTTATCCAATAATTTACTGGTACCATAGTCTCATCTAAGTAACATTGCCGCGTAGCTTTTGGTAGTATTTTAGAAAAGATTGAATTTAATGATTTATTAGCCTCATTTACAAAGAAAGCATTTAACTGTGGTAGCTACCTAGCTAAACGACATATTATCGGATAGATTTATTATTCATTGCCAGCTGCAACCGTTCCATCATCACTATAGTTATTAGATATTCCTTTGTGCTGAATTATTTAGTGCTTATCAACTGGCATCTGAAAGAATTTTCTAGCTTGACAAATGTCGAAAGAATTTTTATTTATGGCTATTGTAATAGCTTGCAACTCATCGAAAACAATTATATGGATAGTTGTCTAGAAATCTAACAATTACGTGCCACAGGCGGAGTAACAATCCAAAATTGAACAATTTCGTATTCTAAGGACATTAATAACTCGGTATCCTACTTGTTCTAAAATTTCATGAGGATTGTAGTGCAAGTTTCATACTTCATAGAGCTTGGATGTATAGATATCATGAAGCATTCGTAGTTGAGGATGTAGGTAGAATAGATGGATTTGATCAACTATGTAATAAATAGTTGCGACTAAAATTAGTTGACAATAACCAGTTCTACTTCCTATGTCATAATAATATAAGTATTGGCGAAGATTGGTCGAGCTAGTTGCTAATATCGGTTCGTACTCTTTTATCAAGCCTTACCGTAACTACGCAAAAAAAAAGTACCAGTAGGCCACATTATGCCTTGCACAGAAATGACATGAGCTAACTATAGACGCTTTAAACGTATAGGTTGTACAAGTAATGATTCTAGCTACAAAGTTAATCCCGTTTTCTGTATAAGGATTTTAATTTGCCTTCTCAGGAGTTAAACGATGAGGAAAAATCTTTAGTCTATAACAAGGATTTTAATTTTCCCTATTCAGGGGTTAAATGATGAGGAATATCTTTAATCTATGACAAGGATTTTAATTTGCCTACTCATAGGTTACATGTCGAGGGAAATGTTTAACCTAGAACAAGCCTGTCTTCCTTACACTGTCCTGGATAATACTACAATTGTATGCAAAATGAGCTGCTATCTTATGGATTATTTCTTCTTTAATAGTAGACAGCAGAGCACCATCAAAACGGAACGACAGTAGTTCACTTAGCGTACTACTTACTATAGCATGGAAATTTAACACTAGAATTGATTACTCATAGCTGGTATATGCGGAAAAATCGTTTCCGTAATTTGTCGTCACCACATTTATATACCGCTATGCTCAGAAAATTTCATTTGCCAAATTGAAAGTAATAATAAGTAGACCGATCTATCAAAAAAATAATCATGGTCTACATATTTAGCCGCATATTTTTGAGTTGTTTCCTTAATATCGAATTCTTACGTAGTCTCTGAAAAATATCGCTCTGAATCAGTTCTATCAATCTACGAAATTCAAAATAATCTTAGTACTAGTGTTATCATGACTGACAAAACATGTATCATATAGCTGATGTTGTTTGTGGATTTGTTTTTATACGTTATTATTGTTTCAGGTCAGCGTAATCCGAAGTAGCACAGTCAAATTACGGTAGAAAGTATTTAAACAATTTACTTCAAATATGAAATGCAAACGCTATAAGATTTACCACATACTCTATAATTTAATTTAGCTTTCGATTCTGCCATGATATAACGCTTGTTACTGGCTGGAATTGAAATACATCTTGTTTTACAGCACAACATACCGGTAGTGATGCATCAGTTACCAAACACCATTATGATACCAAATTTAGTCTTCAAATTGGGTTGGAATATTTTTCTTTCTAGTAAACAGATAGATGCACTTCTTGTGCATTTACTCTGGTAAAATTTCTATCTACTGTACATTTATAGTATCGTACCCTACCTATAGCAAGTTATGGACATGTTGATTTGCACGTGATTTATCATTCATCATCAGTAAACTGGACTTTATTTGGTTCTAGCAGATTATTTATCCAAGTTGTTATGGCCGCCAACAACAATTATTAAGACAAACAATAATCAACACTACTCCATTTCTATGATGACTGATATTAACAACCAAGGATTTGATCCACTATTTGAAGCGACGAAGTCTATAGCATTTGAATTTGCTCCGGCTGCTTTTCTGGCTGTAATCTCTAGTTTTATAGCAATTTATATCGTTTTCTTCTTTTGGCCAAATCTGTTCGTTGATCAAAATTATATACCTACATGCCTTTTCTAGCTACTGCACTTTTATCGCTGTATGCGAGTTTATATTTTGGCTCCTGTCAAAATGTAACATTGCCTCCTTCAAGTTTATATGTGGATTATTGTATGCCGTCTTCAACTCAGCCATCATCGTCGGTTCAGTGGACAGTCATAGCATTTCCTAACGGCAAAATTCAACAATCTACTGATAATAGAATAACGTTCTCTTATAATTATGATGATGAAGTAGAATTTTATTACATTCGTTGTAACAATGGTAATAATTTAGTGAAAGAAAATATTTTATATATCAATTCACGGACAAGAGGAGTCATTCTATGGTTGGATGAAGATGGCCAAGTTATACCACAAACTGACGTTACAAATATTACTTTAACAGTAGCAGTCTTTCCATTTCAATTGCGAGCGAAAGTATTTGGATGTGAAAAAAATGTGTTGGCAGCCATAAGAAGTCCTCCTTTGAACGCAAGTTTGACGAATTCATTTCCTGGCAATGTCATTGAATTTTTTCAGGTAGGAAACCGTGAATGGAGCACCAACTATTCATAGGATATATTTAAATTGGACGGTACATTGGTCTTAGATTGAAGTGTTTTTTATGTGATTAATAGACGGAGAATGAAATTTTCTTTGACGTAGGTGAATTATGGCTTGTATAGCTTAAGGATAGAATGTCTTGGAAAATGGAATACAACACTTTTAACCGCATCAGCAATAGTATCAGGGCCAGCAAGAGCAACTGGAAATGACTGTCATTGCGTGCATAACGGTGTTTGTTCTCTAGTTCAAAATGATGAAAATAATCAAACATGCTACTGTTCAGATGAATATACCGGATCTAAATGCCAATGGAAAGCTGCAACTAGTCAACAAGTAGCCACTGCAACAGCTTCTAGCATCACTACTAAGCCTCCATCTGTTCCAGTTCCTCTAAATACTACTGCGATTGTCATGATCCATGTTGCGTTAGCGGTTTTAGATTGTTGTTTTCTACTGACTATTGCTATTATATATTACAAGCGACATTTTCCTCGTGGTCGGCTAGAGATCCATAGGGTCAATTCGGCTGTTTATACGCCAGTATCGACCGTAGAGCCGAAGCAAGTTCCTCAAAAAGTAGAGGATTTGCCAGAGTATGCTGAATTGGAAAAGGTCACTCAAGATTAATGATTACGCAGCATTCCGACCGTTGCTATTTTTCACTACCTCAATATCGCGTATTTTGATATTTGTGCCGACCATGTAAGAAATTACTATATCATTGACGTGTTTCCTTGGTTGCTTGTATGAAAAGCAACATTTGTAATTAAAAATGAAGGATTGTTAGTAGACTATTTCAATGTATGTGCCTCACATGTTGTTGACAATTGCAGCCAGAAAATATTTTGCATCGATGACTTCATTTGTAAGCAGTAGAGACCGCTTCGATCATGGTCATTTTGCAAGCACGTTTTTATGCTGTTTTTATGCATTGCCTTAGCCTTACTGTCATGATATTGATCAAGATTTACCAACATGTTCTTTATCCATTGCATAGCATTAAATAGTATTGATGGCTATTCATTGCCAACCGCTAGACTGTACTCTCTGCGATAGACATGTTCATGTTGAAGCATTGCAACGATATCGTTATGCATGTTGAAATGAGCTGCAGTAATAGTAGCATCTCGTAGACAGTTGAGTAGCGCAGCTCAATCAAACACATTCAAGTTCTATTAAAATGATTTCATTCAAATGAAATGAGCATCGCCATAAATAGTTATTCCTGCAGCATTGCAGACGTCCTGCAATGCCTTTCTGCCATCGCAGTATGCGGACAAGCAATGCTACAGCAACGAACAGTATTTGATGGTCAAGTAGCCTGACAGTCTCCATGCTTGCTTTAAATCCTATGGCCACCATGTCCAACATATCAATTTGCGTAGTACTTGACCACTCACTCACTCGATACAAGGGCTAGCCGTGGGAGCACCAGTTCTTCAAGTCCAGTACGTTACCGTATGGATTGAGGAAGTCCAACATAGTGTTGGGCTGGCTGTTGGCATTAGCATGGGCTGACGGTCCAAAAAGGGAGAACTTTACGGAGCAGAATCAGTAGAGTGTACTGTAATTTAGCCCTTTCTTTCGCGCAGCCGCTCTAATGGATTGACTTTATCGTGTCTCTCTTATGTTTACAGTTATTGCATAATGTTTAATAAAGCGTGACGACGATGGTCCGAAAGGACAACTTGAAGTTACAGAGCAGAATCAGTAGAGTGCAGTACTGTACAGTACAGAATTGTACTGTACATTTGTACTGTACTGTACTTTCTGTTAATGAAGCGTGACGACGATGGTTCGAAAAGGGACAACTTTCAGTTTTACGGAGCAGAATCAGTAGAGTGCAGTACAGTATTGTACTGTACTGTGCTGTAAAACGTTTCCATTAATATTGTAGATTCCAGAATGAAAATAACTACTGTACTAGGGATTTTCTCTGTTATTTATACGTCACTGTATGAAATAGACAGTACTACACTGTGTACTGTATGGCGAAATACTCCATAAAGGTAAAAATGGGATAGTCTCAGATTAATTTGTACTGTACTGATCGCTAATGATGGTACTGTAGTGCACTGTGTGCAGTCTGTGCTAGATCAAACCCTTCTACCGTCACTGCATCGAAAGTTCTCAGAATACAGTACAGTATACAGTACAGTAGAGTTCGTATGGTACTGTACAGTACATTAGAGTAGTACACGGTACATGGGATTTCGATGGTGTCGCTAGGACTGACGTGTCGCCCGAGCTGGTCAGTGGTCAGGCTACAGCGCAAAGTTGTAGTGTAGTGTACTGTGTACGTTACTGTACAGCTGAGCATACGGTAGTGGCACGCACGGCATCATGGGCCACTATCTCTCTGCATCCGCCGTTCGCGGTTTACAGAATTCCACTACATCTCACAGTACAGTACAGTGTACAGTGTACAGTGAGAGTGTATTGTGTACTGTATCTGTACAGTACTGTACTGTACAGTACTGTAGAGTTAATACTAACAAGCGAATTGAAGGTTCGTACTATTAACGCGTAGAATAAATATTGAATATCACATTTGTAGGTTACTGTAAGTAATCAATCACGATTTTGAATATTGAACCTGTAACAATAGCAAGTTTGTAACGTACTGAGTTCAGGTAATATTGAATTAAGGCAATAGCAATCTAACGGTATGATTGCTACAGACCTACAGTACAGTATACTGTACCGTACGTACAGTACTGTCCAATAACACCGTCCAAACCTACTGTACACTCACAGTACAGTACTGTCCAATAACACCGTCCAAACCTACAGTACTGTACAGTACAGTATGTACTGTGCACTGTGCACTGTACACACAGTATGGGACGCATCCTGTACAGTGTACAGTGTACAGTACTGTCGAAAAAATATCCAAAATGGCTCAAGAGGGACAGTAGCGTACAGTACATAGGCTACAATACTGCACTGTACTACAGCATCTTATCACGGTGTACCGTATAACGCCGTTTTTGCGCAGGCTTGGCACAATATTAAGGCTGCATGTGACCCTTCTTCCTTCTCTCTAGCAATTTATCCGAGTAGCCATCATGGTAGGTTCAGTAAAGAAAAATATCCTAGTCCAATCTTCAATTTCTGTGCACGATCGTAAATTTCTTTTATCATCAAACTGCTTCGGCACTTTCGTTGTAAAAGATGATCTAGTTTTGTTTGGCTAAAGATGTAATCATAAAATTTTATTCGCTATTATATAGTCTCATCGTAAGTTCTCGGCTCCTCGTCATGGTTCCCTTGGGTTCTTACCACGTAAGAGAACGAAAAAGCATCGAGGAAAAGTAAAGTCTTTCCCTAAAGATGACGCTACCAAGCCTTGCCATCTTACAGCATTTATGGCCTATAAGGCTGGTATGACTCATGTCTTGCGTGAACCTGATCGTCCTGGTTCAAGTAAGTTCAACTGCCATAATGTACAACAACTTCTTACGATGGCGGTAACTAGTATTTCGCCGTTCTTCAATAGCTAGACAGCTAATAATGGAAGAGCCAAGTGATAGTTTGATATCGTGCAATGCTAGTAATAGATCATCATTTTTAATATCAAATACTTTACGATAGTACATACGTACAGACAACTTTTTTTATTGGCAATAGCCTTTCGTTATGCATTAATATTGAACGATTTGTTATACAGCGCTAGTGTAATTTGTTACGCCTTAAAGTAATACAAGTATTTCCAGAATATGGCAACGATGCATAAGTTGCCGTATGATGAAATGTTACTTTAAAATGGAACTATTCTCATAAATTGTTGTCGTCTTTGAGTTGAGATATGAGAAAATACATCTGGCTTCAAAGTCTCTCATTAATCGACTACTGTTTATAAATGACGGCTGTAATCTCTACTCTTATAGAAATGAATAAGAAAGAAGTAGTAGAAGCTGTTACCATCCTGGAAACTCCTCCAATGGTTGTTGTAGGTGTCGTTGGCTATATTGAAACTCCTCGTGGCCTTCGTACTTATAAGACCGTTTGGGCTGAACATCTGAATGAAGAATGCAAGCGTCGCTTTTACAAGAACTGGTACGTAAGCTTAGATGTATTTGTTATAGACACCTATCTGGCGATAAGCTCTCTATTAATGCAAGATCGCATACAATCCTAGCAAGTTTCTTGATAAAGTAAATGTAGACTTCAGGTCTGTAAGGAGGATTATGTTCAATGCAACAGGTATAGATCAAAGAAGAAGGCCTTCACTAAATCATGTAAGAGATATGGAGACGCAAACGGCGTTCAAACGATCGAACGTGATTTCGAAAAAATGAAAAAGTATTGCAAAGTCATCCGTGTTATTGCACATACTCAGGTGAGCAGAGGGAGACCTACTGCACTTGTACTTCGATACGAAAGCAGTCTGGCTTGCATAGAATGTTTGCGACAGCAAGATGTTATTTCTTGTAAAGTATCTAAATTAAATATTAATGTTTTAGATAAGACTGGTCGCTTTACGACAAAAGAAATCCCATGTCATGGAAATCCAAGTTAACGGAGGTAATATCGTTGAAAAGGTAGACTATGCCCGTGCTCTGTTAGAAAAAGAAGTACCAGCTGATACCGTTTTTAGCCAAGATGAAATGATTGATATAATTGGTGCAACTAAAGGAAAAGGATTTAGAGGTACTCCAATGCCCTGTCATATTGTAATATGTCATAAATATTAGATAATTTCTCATATTACTACCTTCGCTAATGATGATAGCATGATATCTACTTGATCGAAATATTAAAAACAATTCATAATGTTACTACTTTGGTGATAAGGCGTTACTTTCCGATGGGGAACGAAGAAATTACCACGGAAGACGCATAAAGGTTTACGAAAGGTTGCATGTATTGGCTCTTGGCATCCTAGTCGTGTTGGCTTTTCTATTGCTCGCGCTGGTCAAACTGGTTACCATCATCGTACTGAAGTTAACAAGAAGATTTACCGTATTGGTTCTGGAAAAGATGAAAAGAACGCTAGTACAGGATATGATACGACTGTCAAGAAAATTACTCCTGTGGTAAATTGAAGAGCTAGCGTTACTGACGGCACTTACTATTTGTGTCTATTTTAAAATTTCGACATATATTTCTCACTTTTAGGGTGGATTCCCTCATTATGGTGTAGTTACACAGGATTACATAATGTTGAAAGGATGTGTCATGGGTCCTAAGAAAAGAGTCATCACTTTACGAAAGGTAAAACTAACACTTATTGGATGTACAGTACAGAACAGTAGCTCAAGAATGGCATTTCTGATTCACCATGCTTCCTTTCTTTCAGTCTCGCCGTGTCCATACTAGCCGTGTCGCATTGGAGAAGATTAATTTGAAATTTGTGGATACAACATCGAAATTTGGCCATGGAAGGTTCCAAACTCTTGATGAAAAGAAAGCCTTTATGGTAAGTTACCTGCAACAGTTGAAGTTATTATTTGAACACTGTAAGTGTGACGTGTGCTATACATTATTCTCTTTTAGGGAACCCTTAAGAAAGATATCGCAGCTACTGCATAAATTCGGCCAATTACTGTTTAATAGACGTGTCATGTACTGTTGAGTAATAAATGATTAAAATTTCAAATTAATTTTGGCTGTGTCTTCTCGTGGTATTGATCATGTAATAGTAGAAGACTGCTAACTTTACTTGTCATCTCGAATAGGAAGTGAAGAAATAGATGCTATTTACTGTACTAAAACGAGTGCAACTTATAACAAGTGGATGCATGTTTGTAGTACAGTACTTGGGATCTCTAAAAAATAAACCTTTATGTTTTAGAGATCATTGACTGAATGTATATCGAGATAGTTATTATTCATGTCATGACGGGGATTATTAATACGGTACTTTCTTGAAGCTGTTGGACAGTACATGTTGATACATGTACTTCGTTTCTTGTTTTGCCATTAAAATGAGCGATCATCCAGTTATGTGATCGACAGTGAATTGCACCAGATGATTCGATATTGAGTAGCCGCACTAGAATTCTTAGGACTGATATTAATTATTACTTGTAAATACTCGTAGGACCTATGACTGATTGGGATGAAGCATGAAGTTGAACGATACATGTATAATTATAGTATGTCAATTGCTCAAGATGTACGGTATAAGCTGTATTAGGCTGTGCTTGCGTGTCTAAAAATACTGACAGTGAATAAGTTAGAGATGCTCTACATTTCTTGGCTGCGATTTATTTCAGGTACTTAATAGTTGTGTAGTATGTATATGTTACGTTTTCGCTAGTATTGTTTACAGTATATTCAATATAGTAATTTTTAAGAAACTGTACTCTTATAATAATATGGTAAGTTCACCTAATAGATAAAGTTAAAAATTGACTTTCAAAAGCTCACATAAATTCTACAGTACATAGCTAACACACTTATGAAAAGTAATAGCAATTCAGTATTAAAATTTAAGTGAAGAGTTTTTAAGTACTAGATTACTTCAACCATGGGATTTAGTATCATATATTACAATAGATCGCTTTCAGTCTTTATTTATTATGACGTGGTCCTATCGATTCTTTATTGACCGTTATTATTTTGACATTATTTACTAGAATTTATGAAGACTATAATTACATTTTCGGCTACTAGATCTACACGTGTACATGATACTATATTGTGGATGTATACTCTACATGCAAGACGTAGCCATGAATCCGTTATGAAGTACACAGACACCAAGATATCAAATTGTCTGACTAACTGTAAATAAATAATTAATGATGTTTTGATCCGTATGATCCTAAAATGGTATCAAATGAAAGACTTAGTATAGAATAACGAAAGGAACCGTGACTTTGATAACCAATTGTTTTAGTATTAATATTAAATAAATAAGTTGGCGAAACAATGGCATACACTATGTAGACAATTTAAATTACCATAGTATAGTAGCAGAAATGGTGTTGAACTTTTATTTTCTATCATTCTTAAATAGCAGCGATCTCTTTATAAGTTATAATAATTGTAGATGTTATGTATGTCTCTATTGACAGAGAAAGCCATAACTATATCTAGTTGATTCGTTTAATTCCTTCAGATTGCCCGATGTTGTGAAAGTAGTTTAACGTGAATTTTACTCCTCAATCGATAGATATTGAGATAGCGCATCATCATAATATTAAATTTCCGATCTGATATTAATAAATAGTATCGTTTTCAAAGCATGCTATCGAATTTCAGCACGTCTAGATTGCATAGCATAGTACCGTACGTATAACAGGAAATTACGACAGAAGTGGGATGCAGTATATGAATAGCCTTATTTTAATTTGTTTTACCCCGGTTTGCGTCGCAGCATAGAGTGAGAATAGATTTTTATTGAGAATTGAACAACGTACTATTAAAGTTATCAAAGTAAAGACAAGATAAGCAATACAAGATGATTCATTTTTTCTAATTATCAGATTGGGGTTAAATTCAAGAGATTCATAAAAGTTTAATTGTGTGCTGCTATTTTTCAAGAAAAAAAGGAGAAAAAAACTCGATAACTAATATGAGTATCATGCCACAAGTATAATTTATTTCCAATGTTGCCAATTAAAACTGTTAATTTGCTAGGAAAGGGCAATGTATAAGAAATCATTGGTTCCAAAATATCGCTAAAAGTTGTTATTAAAAGATTGACGATTGTAATGAGTTTTAAATATAAAATAAAAATATACAACTGTATATTACTGATACAAATTAATAAAATGATGGCTATACTCTCAGTCTATTCTTTTATTATTCCTTCAATTTTATTAGTCCAGCCTTGGAACAAATTAAATTGTAAGCATTCAACGTGACAACTACTGACTACTAGATTATGATGATCATCATTATCACTAATGACAATAGGAGTAAATACAAGCAATACTCTTACATACGTATAGAACAGAAATTTACATTTTGGACATTGTCCATTGCTTCATAATACAGTAGGTCAGCATGTGTAAAATGTGATGCATACATTCAAGTGCTCTATTGATGCAATATCGATGTTTAGAGTCGCGTGCTAACTAACGAGTGGAATATTTTCAAAGCAGTCATTGGTTTTGAATTAATCAAATGTAATCTTTGTCGGTAAATCGTCGTATTGATAATATTTCGATGTAATTGCCTTGTCGTCAACTTTGACAACTGTGATACCATTTTTTTCATTACCAAGTTGAAATGACATCGAAGATGCTGTCGTCAATTGGATACCATCTACTTTAACGTCTGCATTAGCATGACGATGCCCAGTAAAAACAGATACAACTCCGTGATACTTCAAAGCGGAGAAGAGCGGTAATCGTTCCTTTTTAGGAATGATAAAATAGGTATCTTCTTCGTCGATACCTTGTAAACATAATGGAATATGCTGGAAAAGAACAATGTGTTTGGCATGAGCGAGTTGAGCCTCGACGAGATGATCTTCTAGCCATTGATGTTGCTCTTTCTTGATATCTTGTAAATTAGAGCCATCATAATAATATTGAGAATTTAAGACGATAAAATAAACTCCACCGCACCAAAATGAATACCAGTCATCTCCAAAATCTTGACGATAGGTCGCAATATCGTCGGGCGTGGGTGTATCGCCAATATCATGATTGCCTGGTAAGCACATTAACGGAATTTGATGATTTAATTGAGCAAATGCTTTCTTGAAATCTTCAACCTGTTGGCGATGTGTTGGTTTGGAAGGGGGTGAATTAACGAGATCGCCACCGACCATGAAAAATCGAGGCGGTGGTTGCATTTTATTGACTTCATCAACGGCTCTTTGAACATATTGAATTTCATCTTGCCATGTTACATCTTGTGTAACGATACCCAGTTGTGGATCAGCACCAAAAATAAAGTAGAAAGGTTGTGACCATTTGGCTTCTTGTTGTTGATCCAAGATGGAGTTGTCGATAGTATGATTGCAAGCTTTGGCTAAATTGGCCATGATGATTGCTAAGCCAAGCGGTTCGATTGCGATGACGTGAAGTGATCCTTTGTAATACTGATGGCTGCAGTACAGTACAGTAAGAGTTAATAATACTAACAATAATAATAATCACCCCTAATAAACAACACTACAGCACAGTTGCAGTACAGTATTCCTACCTATAACAATTGTTAAATTATAATCATAATAAATAGAGAACAAATAGATCGTCCTCCGTAAAACTGGCGTCCAGAGCGCAGCAACTTTTGCAGTGGTTAGCGCCTTCGTGCCTAAGTGATTTGTTAAAAGACGTTGTGGCTTTGATGACGTTAGTATTGTTCTAATACAGACAGACAGACAGTGAACTCCGACTGGCGAAGAGTCCAGTCGGATACAGTACAGTGTACAGTATAAGTGCAGTACGTACTGTATGGTCAGACCATAGAGTTCAGAAAAAACTCTATGGGTCAGACCTACGATCGATGAGTGAATTACGCAATCTGTGCAAACAGTCTACAGTACTGTACTGTAGACGATGCGAACACGATGGTAGCGTGGTACGATCACATGACTCAATACAGTACCATGAACAGCAAATGGAAATGATATGCTCGTACTGTACTGTTCACTAGTGTCCAGTACGATGTGTTTATTTCCTTTTCTTTTCAGACTCAGAAAAAGGGAAAAATTAGTACTGAAACTAAGGTAAAATGACTCTATTTTAGAGCATTCTACAAGAAGAGTCGAAGCATACAGTAATAATTATAATGAACAGTACAGGAATGTTGTATGCACAGTACTCAGTACTGTACTGCTTGATCCATAGAAAATACTGTAGGCTTTTCTTTCACCTCAATGGCCTGATTGAACCAAACCCATGCACTTCTCTTACAGTGTACAGTACTGTAGCGGTCTGGCCGTACTGTACAGTACATACTGTACACTGAGTGTACAGTACTGTACAGTACAGTAGTCATTCCTACAGTATTAGAAATGGACTTCTACAGTACAACTGTACTGTACTGTACACTGTAAGCTACAGACACAAAGCCAACCGCAAGACAGACTGTGGTAAACTTTGGATTCTGCCGTCTCGTCTCGATATGGGATATGGACGTGTACTGCATATTCATCAACGACTAATAAAATCATAAAATCAATCAATCAACGCCATACCAATCCTACCGAAGGATGATGATTAGCCATTCTTGATTGAATGGTACTGTACTGCAGTGTACGGTACAGTGCTGTAGCGGTGTAGCCTACACAGTAGTCCAGCCTCTAGTCATTCCTATTGGAAATGGACTTCTACAGTACAACTGTACGGTACTGTACACTGTAAGCTACAGACAGAAAGCCGACTATAAGACAGACTGTGGTAAACTTTGGATTCCTGCCGTCTTGTCTCGATATGGGAAACCTACGCGTATCTTGATCAACGAGTCAGGTCTATCAACGACTAATAAATTACAAAATCAATCAATGAACGCCGTACCAATCCTACCAAAGGATGATGATTAGCCATTCTTGATTGAATGGTATACCAGTGTACACTGTACAGTACTGTAGCGGTCTAGCCTACAGTACTGTAGTCTAGCTTCTAGCCATTCCTATTGGAAATGGACTTCTACAGTACAACTGTAGAAGTCCTGTACTGTACTGTGTACACTGTAAGCTACGGACAGAAAGCCGACCGCAAGACAGACTGTGGTACACTTTGAATTCTGCCGTTTGTACAGTATTGTACTGCACTATACTGTACTGTACACTGTAAGCTACAGACAGAAAGCCGACTGCTAGACAGACTGTAGTAAACTTGAGATTCTGCCGTCTCGTCTCGATATGAGATAATGTACGCGTATCTTGATCAACGACTAATAAAATCACAAAATTAATCAATCAACGCCATACCAATCCTACCAAAGGATGAGGATTAGCCATTCTTGATTCAATGGTACTCCTTTTTGAATGTTGGGACTAAAATCATCGTAGAATATCGATAGAAATCGTGAATTATATTGGACCTGTTATCATTCCTCACCTGAAGGCTTCATGAGCACCGGTAAGCGTCGTAGAACCCGTTAGAGTAACTAAAGTAAGCGCGAAGTGATGGATTTCACCTACTGTCAGTGTTTACGACAGCAAAATGTTGTACTGTATCGGTTTGAGCTTTTCCATCATCGATCAACCATAATTGAATAATAATTATAACTTGTGCTATTGAAATCAATTCAACCTAGTGGATATCTTCATTGATTACTTGTAGTACAGTATGTCTTAAAGTGGCAAGAGTGAAAGGAACAAGTGCCATCCAGTTATTGAAGCATTGATTAATTGATTATTTTAGTACGCACAGTACTGTAGTCATGCTGTTATCCAAAGATGGATAAAGCAAGAGTAGAGAATCAATGAAGAGTAATTAACATTATTAGTAAATAAACTGCCGTATATGTACTGCTTTGCCACCCTAGGCTACATCAATATACAATAGCAATAGTTTGCCGTAAACGATACAGATGATCTCTATTTTTTTTGTGCGGGGAGCGCTGACGATGGATAAAATCCAGTAGTCCAAATGCAAATTGCAATTCAATTTCACTTTGAACCGAGACAATGCGAAAATCATGTCCATGATCTATTTGGATTGCAAAAGAATCCAAATGAAATTTCACTTTTGATCAATACTCAGATGGTGTGGATGGATAGTAGATAGGCCGATCAATTCAAATAGGAGTTCAGTTGGGAAAAGTCCAATTCAATTTCACTTATGCTCGATATTCCAACTTTGTTGGTAGGTAGTATGCGTTATCCAGATCGACCTGCATTTTCATGATACTGTACGCGTATTGAAATTGCGGTAAATCCGAGTTATTATATACAGTACTGTTGGCGTCGATTTAGCATGTATGTGTAGACTCAGCATGTCTCTTTATACTTAGAATAATAAAATGGACGGAAATCAAATATCCAAATCATAATTCTATTGCACTTTCATCGATAGACCGTCGAATTTGCTTGTTAGACGTAGAGTTTACATACCAGCTCGATTCCACATTGCAATACTTGTAAATGTTCCTTTTTGTACAATACAAGATATCAACACTGACTGAGTACTACACATCTCTTACACAATCCATGGACCGAAATGAAGTAATCCAAAATCCAGATTGAATTACATTTTTATAATTAATATTCCAACTGGGTTGATGGACAGGAATACATACCAAACAGATCTATTTCCATTGTAGCTGCATTGCGCTTAATACGAATTATATCATCTTAATCTGACGAAAAATTCATCAATGGATATATGCGCGTACAAAAACTCGATCTTGTTCATCTTTTATATCAATCTACAACTGCGAAAGTGTAAAAGGAGGAGGGAAGGAAACATACCAGAAAGAGTGTAAATAAAGAGTCAACTTGAACTGGCATTGAAATAATCGGTGACAAATATGTTACACCCTAATTAGAATAACTTCTGTACAATGGCTGTGGATATTCTACTGTCAAAAGTATCCATTGCCTACAGCCATCGACAATTGATCTAAATTTCATTATCGATACGATAACTCGAATAAAATGACGATATTTTCTTAGTATACTCGTATATTACATGTGGACCACCATGAATCATTGTACTTCAAGACGTTAAATATAAAGTTTATAAATACAACACTCATAAAAAGGCACGAATAGATCAGCCTTCCTAATACATCAAAACATTTTTCTAGTAATTTTAATTAATTTCTGTCATTTAATGAAATAAATCATGCCTGTAAAGAAACATTGTCTTCAATTGTATGCGAGCTAGTATTAAAATACAATATGCTGGTTATCTTAGGGCAAAATCATCGTAAGCACTGGCAAAAAAGAAGCGATTCCGCTGTCAAGATAAGAGCAGAAGAGGTATGCAAGTCTTTCAATCTTTTGCATTTTTATAATATACAAATGCTTCACGGATGAATGCTTCTCATTTCCTAACAAGATGTATATCCGCATCTTCAATTCTAATAGCTCGTAACGCCCTAATATATTGTCAACCATTACTGATAGAATTATCCATATGGAGTGATAAAATAGGTGTAGAGAATACCGCATTTTCTAGTAATTCTTGACAGGTGTAAACTACGATAATGAAATAAAAATACATGGACCTCATTAACTAGTACTGTTTCTATAGTAAATCAATAACTAGACTTTAACCATATGCTTGATCATAACGTAATAAAGTCATGTTAGAGGTCTTATTAGTGCAATCAAATAAACGTTACTTCATACCATATGCTCCGCCAGTCAGTTAATACAGATAATAAGGGATAAAAATTTAACTACAGTAAAGCAACCGTAAAGGAAAGTGCGCATTGTAGAATTCGTAAATGTATTGAATACTTTAAACATTACATTTTTTAAATTGCGGATACGGATACATCAGAAACCCATTTGCAAATTATAAAATATCGCATTATATTTTGGAGATTGTATCAAAAGTGTTCAAAATTAAGTCATGCTTTGAA